CACTCATCTGGGATGGCGCTAAAGTCAAAGAAAACCAAACGGGGCAGTGTGATGGACATCACAGAAGGAGGCAAAGTAATTTCCCCTGGTAAACCATTGCTCTCTGTCACCTAAGCAAGGCACTACTCTGTTCACCCATGCAACTGCAACTCTTTCCAGTTGGTTCCTCAGGATAAGGGCTCCATTGCAACATAGAGAGCACTACCAGGGCTGCTAAGCCTGACCACCAGTCAGAGTCCTAATGGGAACAGCTTTGAGTGAACCTGCCTGTAACGGCAGTGACTGCAGCTTGCCTCTGCACCCTGGCACTGAGGCCACTTCAGCTCACATTTCACTGTTGACTTAAAGAGCCCTTTGCCAGCACCTTTGGTCCCACGGTACTCTGCTGAACTAGCTCCCAGTTTGGTCCTTTGCCAACTGCTGTTGTCAGAAATCCCAAGGACCCAAGGATTCATAGTTGTTCTGTGTGCAAGTCCCTGGTCAGCCCTTTCTTCATTACCCCCCAGTTTTGAGCCCATTGACCAATTTCAAGAAAGCCTGAAAGAAGGCTGGAAACCTCAGCAACAATTAATTTCTAAATATTTTGCAATGGGCAGCTAAGTAGGAGCCCCAACTCATATGCCCATGGTAAAGGAGGCAGGAGAGCCTAGCCCACACACTCTGCATTTACCCAGCATGGATGTGAATACAGACTTACCCACACCAAATGCTGGCTCTTGGGTTGTTTTTCTCAAGCCTAATGCGGGCTCTTGGCCAGCATTAGGAGACATCGAGAGAGAGCTGCAATATTGTGCAGCTGTTCTGGTGGGGCTGGAGTTACTGCAGTGCATGGATAGAAAGGACACAGATAAGTTGGCAACTCAGCTTCATTAGTATGACTGCTGATGGAACACATTATTTCATTGCTCAAAAGAAAACTTCAATATTACTGGAAAGAATGAAATTCACAAGGGAAACCACACCAAAAAAAAACAAAATAAAGGAGATGAAGGAAGATGTTTTACATGCTGGTGATTCACTCTGAGACAAAAGAAAATGAAAGAATATCCCCAACCATTTGGATCCTCAAATACTAAATATATAAACTTATTGCTGTGATAGCTCCTCCAGACATGAGTCATACATTTTAAAACCTTATGGGATCAATCAATTTAACTTCATAAATGAATTACACCACCAAAACCAGACCAAAACCAGACCAATGTATCTAGACCAGCTCATTTCAACCTTTCAGAGCTGTCGATAAAACTGTGTGTGAGCTGAAATGCTTACCAGCAAAAGCTGAAAGCAGTAAATCAAATTTAATAGGTTGGTTTTGTCAACTGTACACGAATGATGCCTGAAAAAAAACCCCAGCCCAAGCCTGAACTAATGGAATTCCTAAAGGACATGCAACGACTGTTTCATTTCTACATGCCTAATGATCTGGGTTTCTGTTTGGTTGTCTTTATGTGCATAACCCACAGAATTTCTGAATTAAGACCAGCACTTTACATATAAAATATTTAGAAGGGCTTCCAATCCTGACAAAAAGATCTATTGCCTCCCTCAATAGCTGGTTCCTGTAGTTAATTACCCTCACTTATGTTTAATTTAAATTTGTGTCCCTTCATTTTCCAGCAGCTTGATATTTTTTATGCTATTATCTGCTACATTAAAGTGCTGCCTTCTTTCATTTATCTTCCCTCCATATGGTCAAGTTGCCTTTTAACCTTTTCTTTGCAACAAATTGACATCCTTCCACCTCCCACTACAGGCGACTCTGGCCTCTCACCGTGCTATAGTAGTGCTTGGGTTTCATTTATTTTCCCTTTGCTGGGGTGACATAAAGTAAAGTAGTGCTTCCGACCTTGTCTTTATTTTCTGCTTTTTTATTTCTCCTACAGCAAATCTATTGCCAGTATATGACATCAGATTGATAAGATGGAAACAGAAGTCAGAAGTCTTTGCTGTCAAACCAACCCCACACTGCCCTCCTCTATTCTTACAGAGTTCTGTAAGACCATCACCCTGGGTAGAGATGGTCTCCCCTGATATTTAGATTAGGAAATAAATGTTGTACCCCCAACACTGTGGAATAACTGCAGTCAGCAAGTATCAGGAGAGACCTGAGCTTGGTCCTGCTCTGGGTCAGGACCAAATAACTAATCTCAAATGTAGTATCCAGTGATCAGTACCCTGGGCCACCTTGTTCTCTGACTCAAAAATAAACCCTCTGTAGGTGCAGGAGTGGCATTGCTGCTCTCCACCTTATCCACCCTCCAAATGAAACAAAAAAGCTGGAGAAGCAGCAAAACTGGCAACTTTAATTTCATTTTATAGTCGGCTGTAGTGCTGATGTTCCCTTAACACTGCATAACATTGCTTTGATTAATCTAATAATGGTAAGCCCCCAGAAACAGAATGACATCTGCTATTTAAGATGATAGGTTTAGTACAATTATGCCTCTTGCAGTATTTGTGTCTCATTTCTTTCAAGGATATGGAACTTCACTTTTTCTATTAAAACTAGAAAAAGATGACTATAAACATGTCTTCTCCTGTGATATAAAGCTCAAACTACAAAAGACAGATCACACAAAATTACTCTTGTTTGCATTCTGAAGATGGAACTTGTCATTAGAAAGATGAACACTTTATATTCTTTTTACATTTTTTTAATATTATAACGACAGATATTATGGCAAGCACCATAATCTGTTCCACTGCAGTGCAAACAGTGCACATCACCTCCTTAATTACAACACAAAAGCTAGAGATGGGAGTTTGTTATTTTCTTTGCCTTCTGTCGGGATACTGCTGATCTGTGTAATTACTGCAGTTGCCAAGATGTGCAGTGCCCCAGCACAGAGTCAATATTCTTCTCTGGGCAGATGCACTGCACTGATACTATACTGATACTGCGACTGTACCATTCCCAGCATGGTTATACTGGAAACATAGGTCTGAAAAGCTCTGTTTGTATTTTAATACCTGTTAAAGATTATAGGCAAGCTCCAATTTCATAGCTTTCAACTGGGAGATAGCAGCTTGCTGCCCAAGCTGACAAGGATAAAGCTGTACACTCAGCAGGGTCCTGCCCTTTCCTTGAGAGAGGCAAGGTCAGAAAGCCTAGTTCTTTTCACTTACATCTCGGTTAAGAACAATAGCCCATTTTCAGGTTCTCTTCTAGTGACCAAGGCCAGAAAAGTCTGCCATGTGGTCACAAATACAGGTACTGACAAGTTTTCCAGCTCAGCAGATTTCATTTCGTGGTTCCAAAGGCAGATTTATCTAAAACATGCACCGGGAGTGTACTGGTTTGGGCTGAGGTAGGGAGGACATACACAGGGTACACGCAGCAGGAGGTTTGCCCAGGACACAGGGAGCCCGCGTTAAGTCCATGCTCTGTTGAATTCTGTATGAGGACGTGATTCTGTCCCTCTGGTGAGACATATCCTTGCTGCTCTGTTTCAGGACCCATTGCAAGCACGCTATTCGCTCTGTGCAAAACTGCCAGCATTAGTGATCTCATATGAAAGGGAGCACTGGTTGATGACTTAGTTTTACCAGCAGCTCAATGACCTGAGGATGTTTTTCTTCTAACGTATACAGGAGCACTTAATCTCCTACTTTACTGGGATCTGTTTGACTTCATCTACCATTATCACAACGACATGTTGGTGGAGAGCAGAGCTAGCCCTGGATTATGTACAGTACCCACAACAAATGTAATCAGCCTGAATTATCAGGGATTGAGGCTTGGGCTGCTGGAAATAAATTTCAGTATTACATTTGTCATCTGTAAGCCTTTAACAGCCACAAAACACTCACAGCATAGGCCTGTGGTCAACTTTAAGCAAATTATATAGGGCACTTCATACTGTGATAAAGGTGAACTGGACCCTGCAGACAGATGTGTGTGTTCACCACAATTTATCTTCAAAGACTGTCTACAAATCTTGAAAAAGGAGGTGTTGGTTGCCTTTTCAGTTTGTTTTTATTTTTTTTCCTGTTGGGTAAGAGGGGCATTTTAATAGTGAGGATTTGAAGCAAAAAGGAATATAAGTATATTTAAAGTTTTACAAATATAACAGTGTAAACAAGATAGGAGCATTTTAAAATCATCTCCAGTTCAAGGAGTACCAGGAATTACATTGTGTTCTCAGAATCCATCATTTACTTTCTGACACTGACACCAGTAGAACCATGATAGGGTCCAAATTCATGGCCAAACATATCCTACGCTTGTGTCCAATACACACACACACAAAATACAGTACATTTGATCCTGAGCAAATGCTATTTCAAGGCTTTTCCCTCCACACCTTCAAATATGACTTTCAGCATTTAAATTAACTACTTCAGTTAACAGAGCTTAAAAACAGAGCAAAAATGTCAAGGGAAAGAAGCCAGCTCTTCAGAGGTCCATCAACCTGTATGAGCTACACTGCCTTAAACAGGGCTGGAGGACAAGGAAACCCCTCTCCTGTTGAGCTGGTCCGTGCCATGCCCTGTGCACCGCCGGATCACGAGGCACAGGGCTTCCTCTCTGCTAGCTAGCCTGCCTCTCACATACGAGCCTGGAGAAAGCAAGGGGACCGGTCTTTTTGGGAATCGGTCATGCCAGATAGCTAACACACAGAAAAGGGCATCAGATCTCATTTCTCCTGCTGGCGCAGCCCAAAGCACCTCTCCTCCCTCTTCCTTGCTTCTCCTAGGTCAGTGGTGACTCATCTGGACTTTAATGGAGGTCTCTGAAGCTTAATTCATTATCTGAAAAGAGCTTTGAGACCATCAAGTGAAGCATGCTAGAGAAGTGCAAAGAGGTAAGTCTTCTAACTCATATCCACATGCTATGTATGTGTCTCTGTATATATTTTTCTCCTTCTATAAAAACAAAATTTGTACCTGATCCTAGAGCAGGGAGGGAGCCATTCATTCCCTCCACCCTTCCCCCATGATGTATCACCCCCTTGCTTTCTTGTGTGTGAGGTTTGGAAAAAAGGAGTCCAACATACCCAACAATCGAATTTGCATGACGGCACCGTGTAAAACGAAGAACATCCAGAGGGGCTGGGAACAGTCCACGCAGACCTGCATGCCAGTGCCAGCACCGTTGTGACTCAAGTGCAGCTCACCATCCGAATTCACCATAAATCCCAGGATGTCTCCGCTCTGGAGGGGCACTACGACTCGGCAGATGGCCCAGAACTCCTTTCGGTCGACCAAGGACTCAGGGTTATAGGGGAGATCGCTGGGGCGCAAGGTGCTGGGGTCGCAGGACGTCACCCCGTAGGACAGCGTCCCCGTGCGCACAGCGTTGGACTTGTTGATTTTGACGAAAATGGTTTCGTTGATCCGAAGGGGTCTGCTGGTGAAAACCAAAGTCCTCTCCTCCCGGACGTGCTCCAGACGGGCCACGGTTTGGTCATCGAGGATTTTGACATGGGGTCCCCGGAGGTGGTGGAAGCGGAGGTCGCTCTCCAGCTGGGAGGGGAGGAGGTGGGAGTGCTGGGAGTTGAGGGAGTTCTGCGGGATGGGACACGTGGTGGCTGTCACATGGAAGGTCTCCTCCTGCAAGTTGAGGTCACACAGGCTGACCGAGAGGCGCGTGTCCTCTGTCTCCCGCCGCAGCGAGGGCCGGCGGATGGCGGTGAAGGAGCGGGGCCGCAGGCAGTCGGGAGGAATGATCTCACTGTCTGCAGAGAGAAAGAAAGCAAAAAAGGGGTCACTTCAGAGAAAATGAAAATGTCCAGCAGTTTGCAAATCACTATCGGTTTGATTAATATGTTTAAAAGGCAAAATCGGAGACTTGCTGCCATTAATAAATACTCCCCTTTAAAATATGGAAGCAGAGTATCATAAAATGTATTTGCAATCGATTGCTGTTCTTGTACTTTCCCCACCAGCATCAACATTTTCAGCTTCTGAGCAGGCAGACTCAAGATCAATGGAAAGAATTGACCAGGGGAGGCTCTCCTTGGAGAGAGGAAGCAGAGGGTAAGTATCTGAAATGTATCCTGAACGTACCAATCAATAGCTACACAGACTCCAAGTTTTCATGCCCTCTTTATTGTCTGCAGTAATTCTCATAGATCTAGGAGCTAAATCTCTAACTACACATTTTTTAATTAAAAATAATATGCTATGTTCAGTTCTAATTTTTTTAATCATCATATGAAATTTAATTAATATTCCTGTAGATAATTAATCATTAGTGTTCTGGTGCTCACTGTAAACCAGTACAGATATGGATTTCACAGTGCAGAACTTGGGAATATGGTTTTCTATAAATAACATACAATAATTTATTATCTCCAAGCCAAATAATTAAAAATCAACTCCCCAGATACATAACAAAGAAAGATGATGTTTACACGTTCATATCCACCAGTGGAAACAGAATTGCATCTTATCCTCTTTGTTAGTCTCACCTGCTGTTTCAAGAGCTAATCATCATCTTTTTCTAAGGAACATAATCACCTGCCTTTAATGCATAAATTACTTTTATTTAACATATCCTTAGCTACGCTGTTGCCATAGAAATTTCAAAGAGCAATATACTGAGGAAAAAACCCCATTATTTAAACAGCTTATAAAAGGGAGCTGAGATAATGCAAAGATTTATACTTATGCCTCACTCGCTGAACTCTGAGAAGCCCATAGCATCAACAGACTATTCACTGTGAAAAAATTGAGCATGTGGGTAATTCTCTGCAAATGCTGTAATAAGCTATGACCCATACTGACTGTTTCTCTGCAGGAACTATGCCTGCAGAGTGTTGTGGCTTCAAGCCTGGGTCCCAACACTGTGAGGTGGGACCACCCCATACAACACAATCCCCTGCAGACGGCACAAAGCACCACCACCGGACCCCAGCCTGGGACCTGCTGCAAACACAGCACAAGGTGGAACAACGGGAAGAGGCAGAGGAGCAGAGAGTCGTTCCTAACCCACCTGCTAGGCCCTTGCAATGGGCACCTCTTCCAGCCATGTATCCTTGGGATTTTCTTTTACAGCATCAAAAGACGAGGACCTCAGGTTATCTGAGGATTTTCCCAAAGGGATGCACTCTCTCCCAGTACACCAGAGTAGTGGCTCTGTACCGGTATGCCAAGGAAAAATGCCAGCTACTGAATAACCAACATCTCCTGCAATATCTGAGGTCTGACTAACAGCCTTGCCTGCCCTCCTCTTCTGGGAGCCCTGACAAGAGCACACCCACACACAGTTTGGCCTCAGTAGAGCTCTTTGCTTTGCTTAAACTGGATTATTCCAGGCTCCTCTTTAAATAAACTGCTATTAAAAAGGAAGCACAGTCTCAAAATAAAAATGAGTTTTGTTTCTCATATTTGATTTTCCCTATACTGATATTTCAGCTTCTCTTCCCAGGAGTTAATTAAAGAAAAGGAGGAATAAATAAAATCAGAAATTACCCCAAGTAATCTAGAAGTGGGTTGCATTAATGCTTTGTAATATATGGGCTAGCATTTGCATTGCAAGTGCTCCTGTCGGACAGGATTAGACTTATTTTACCCTCCTTTGGCTGGAAACCTACATAGGAGAACAAATTAATACTGGCAGCTGATGACGATCCTTTGGTGTAGGTGAATGGGTAGAGACCTTTCTGAATAGGAACAGAAGGTTCTCTCTATTTTATTCCCTGTAACTATGCATGTGCAGCCTGGCTGACAACTGTGATGTGTGGGTAGCTTGCAGCCAGGGTTTTGAAACAGCTTGTTTTCCACCAGGATGCTTGCATTTCCCTTTGGCTTCTGGACAAAATATCTTTTTCCATCTGAAAAGAGGTTAAGAGAGATGGAGTGCTTCTGCAGACAAGACACATGGCAGTGATAGCAAACCGAGGTTACACTTCCAACTGTTTTACTTAAATCCATTGGTAGCTCAGATGCCTAGCCACTTAAGGGATAAGATGTCTCAAGCATATGGGATTGACTGTGAGACTTAATTGATGTTTGCAAATATCCACGTAAGAAAGGATTGCAGTTTACTGGTATCTGAAGAGGATTTGTGAAAATTTAGGGAGATGAGTTTCTAAGAGATGCTCCAGGGCTCTGTTTTTATAAATCACAAAATATCCAGCCAAAAAAGACCAAAAAAAATCCCTCTGAGTATAAAGTAAAACAAAAGTGGGATTCATCTTTTGGGGTGGTAGGTAAGTTGGAAGAGATGTGGAATGCTGTTTACCCAGAATAACTGATAATGGCCAAGAGCTATGAAAGAACAGTTCTCGTGAAATGTGAAACAAATGAGGTGACTTTGAGCAGTTTCTCTCACCAGAAGATGCCCAGGAATGAGTTGGTTTCTTCCACTAAAGCTTCAGCTGTCACTTTTTAAACACAGACCAAGCTGTTCGTGCTGGAGTGGCCCTTAACACAGCCTTACTCCTGCAGAACCTTTACAACTGACCTTTAATGCCTACAAAGGAGGGACTCTCCACGTAGGAGTGTCCAGGCACATTTGTATTTGCAGAGACAAACTTGAGCACACATCAAAAAGATGGAATGACTTTATGTAACGAGACTGTAAAATACAAAACGGGTCCAACAGCCCAGTATTGAGGTCACCCAGCTTCAGCCTGAAGAATTTAGAAATCATCACCTCTTATTAAAGTTTACAAAATTTCCTGTATCAAGCAGTTGGCAGTGTTTCTTTGAGAAAAGTCAACTGGTGAGAGACCTCCTTGGGTAAGAATAGATGGGCTTGTGAGTAAAGACCACAGCTCTCACCGAGTCACCAGAGTAAGCTTAAACCTGGCTGGTTGGGGTACCACCAGCAAGCTGGCCATGACCACCGCAGCTCGATGCCAGCTGGCTGCCCAGGTAGCTTTCCAGAGAGGTTTTGCTGAGCTCTGCGTCAGTACAGTTATGATGTTAATGCTGAGTTTAGAAACTTAAAGTTTCTGGTAGCAATATAGACATAGCCAAAGCGGAAAGGATTGCTACTAAATACAATTTTTCTGTTCCTCAGTTGGAGAATCTGAGACACTGAACTTTTTTAAAAGATGCCTAACTTCCCAAATCCCTTTGTATATTTTTTTTGGCTTTGTTCAAGAAAAAAATGTAAGCAGGAGTAATTCATTTAGCAAAGTAGAAATGAAGGGCACTTGAGCAGTTCAGCCATCTTCAGTTTTCTCCTCCTCTTTAGTGGACTTTATCTGCAAAATTTAGATTCTCAGCAGCTGATTTTTTTTAGCTTGAAGTATCTTCCTCAGACCAGAGGCTTCAAAGCTCCCTGTTTTTCCTGCTCAGAGGGCATGGAAGAGCCTCTCACTTCATGCAGGCTCAATGCGACTGCTGTAACACTTTACAAGCACTTACAAGGAGCTGGTGAGCAGCCAGATACAGCTGTAATCACCGCGTCCAGATCAGAAGTATTTCACTACCACTTTTTTTTTCTGAACCACTGCCAAATGTTGTCTTCTTAAAATCGTCTATTTTCTTAAACATGTATAATACATATTTATTATAGATATCACATACACACACATTTAATATAGCTACATGCACATCGAAACACAAATGCATTTCTAACCATCAGCATGCACAGATCATCTCAGCCCCACACAAACCCGAAGGGGATGTATTGCTGTCAGACTGTCAAATCATTGTTTCCTTCCTCTTTTTCAGTACTGTCTGTTACTGCCTGAAGGCTTGACTTTCCAAGGTCATGAGCAGCTAGTGTTCAAACATCTGTAAAGGAGCTGGGAAAGCAGAGCAAACTCAGCATGCACGCAAACACATGCTGGAAACTCGCAGAGTCCAGCATTTAACTACAAGCTCTAGGGACACAGATCTCCTCCTCTTGATGAGTTTTCTCAGATTGGTGCAATCCTATGGCCTCACATGAATTGCATTTCTTCAGGGTATGAGGGCTGCAAGCACTCTCCAGAACGAGCTATGGAAGACCTAGTATAAATAAACCAATTTGAGATTTACGACTACAAAAAATAACTTAAAATTTGGGGAATCAGACTGATAACCTAAGAACCTATCCCATTTCTAATGATCTTCCCTCCCAGGAGAGAGAAATGCTGAGAAGTCAAGAAACAACCTAGTGATGGAGAACATTTCTGTCCTCAGCTACTGTGCAAAGAGTAAAAAATTGGTAAAGTCAGAACTTTGCTGGTGAGCTCCCTCCCATTCTCTGCAAAGCCTCATGTTTTTCCTTCCTTTTGTTCTTTGCTTTACTTCTTCACAAGTGCATTTTACCTCTCTTAATCCCTCACTTCACTGGGTAATAGCATTTTTAGAGAGTACTGGTGCTCATTGTATAATTTCTGTGACCAAGGAACCTCAGAGGTGCTAAGCTACCAAAAGACATATTGAAGTCAGTGGCCCCTACAAGAATATTCTATGTAAACGTAAAACTGTGAAAGGATGTATACTGTATTATTCCCACCACACTGGAGGGGCTCCATTCCTACTCAGGAACACAGATGAAGGCTCCTTTTCCCACCATCAGTACCACCTGTCACAAGGGGTTATGCAAGGAGGACAGCTGGCCTTCCAACAACTGGAATCTTGCACTATCTCCTCCACGGTCTACAGCAGTCTTAGGCAGCTAACAGTCCATTTGGCAAGACTTTGACATTGCAGGGAGACGTGTTTGAAATATGAGGCAGATGTACCATGCCATAAAATAGCACTGCACTCAAAGGCAATTGGGAAAAGCAAC